GTGCTCGGCAGGATAGGCGCTCCCTCACCTTTGGTGCTCGGCAGGATAGGCGCTCCCTCACCTTTGGTGCTCGGCAGGATAGGCGCTCCCTCACCTTTGGTGCTCGGCAGGATAGGCGCTCCCTCACCTTTGGTGCTCGGCAGGATAGGCGCTCCCTTACCTTGGTGTCAGAAAATATTTAATCATTTTCTTTTCTTGCCAGACCTGAAGAAATGCCTCCAAAGAAAACCTCAGGATCAGGCGCCAGAAAAGCTCCAGCTAAGCGAAAATTGGCAGAGGAGTTCCCACCTGGGGAGGTGCTCACCGATTCAGCCAAAAGGCAGTGGAAATTGGGGCTGCCCGTCGGACAGGGTGGCTTTGGACGTCTTTATCTTGGTAATTTTTTTTCTCAATAGTCCAGTTTCAATGACCTCTAAAGCTGGAGGCACACCACATGATCATTTCCCAATCTGTTACTGTTCGGTTCATAAATTAAAATATCTCGAAGTGAACACCATCTGCGACCGTCTGGGTTTTTTTGGATAGCGTTGGGCAGCTTTGAATCTCTGGGGGTTATGCACAAAGCTGCCGAAGGAATAACCCAGCAGAACTACGTTCGGCTATTCACTTCTGGCTGATTTCAGCCGTACATTGGCTGCACTTCGGTCAGCCGAATGTCATACTCTGCATGTTCGGCTGAAGTGCAGAAGGACATCGGCTGAGCCGAAGCTAAGGCAGCTCACTCTCTGCCCTTCGCCCTTATTCACATAGGGGCCGAACGGCAGTGAGTGAATAGCCGAATGCCGCCAAGCGACATCCTGCTCGGTACCTCTGTGGAACCGAGCAGAATAGCAAATCAATGAAAAGAGTTTAAAAAGAAAAGTTGAAAAAATATTTTTAAAAATGTAAAATATTAAATTTTAAACAAAGATTTTTTTTTTTTAACCTCTTGCCGTCCGCCCGTAGTAAAAAAACGGACGGACGGCACTGCAGCATCTGCGGGTTGCCGTCTCCAGACGGCAATTTTTTTCTGCTCGCGCGCGCCCCCTAGCGGGCACGCACGGGCAGAAAAGAAAAAGAAAGCTCTATCTGTCCCCAAAAAAGGGTATAAAATTCATTTCAGTACAGCGCTGCATGACGGAATAAATGTCAGTCAAAGTACCGCAGCGCTGAATACTGAAAAATGGCCTGGATGGGAAGGGGGTTTAACACCGCGGATGTCAACTGGTTAAACAAAAAAAAAATTGGGCGGAGCTAGCACTGACAGCTAGTTCCGCCCAACTGTTTCCTATTGGCCGGCACCTGCTAGAGTTGGCTACTGTCATTTTTGGAAAGAACGGCCAGCCCTTTGGCAGGCCGTTCTCCCCGCTACGGGTGTCACTTCGACTGAACCGAAGGGCTCCGGGGGCTGAAGGGAGCCGAAGGATCAGCCGAGGCTACGGCTTGATCCTTCGGCTCCTACGTGAATAGCTCCCTCTGTAACCCTTGTGGAGATTTTTCATTGAGGTAGTGACCACATAGTCAATGAGGGAAATATCCCCAATAGGGAGTGCAATAAAGAACTGACAGATCCTAACTTGCGCGATTTATTAGTGGGGGAAAGGTTCCCCTTCCTCCCACTTGTGATTTGTTCAATTGCTTTTTCAAATTAAAAAATCTTAAAGTGACATTAAACCCTCAGATTTTTTAACATAAAACAATACTGTAATGTGCGCCTTAAGCCCCGTTCACATTGAGCGATTTATCGCGCAGTAATTCCCGCGATATCGCGGCAAATTACCGCGCTCCAATGCATTTCAATGGGGTAAAGGGTCGTGTGTCGCTACAGCAGGACCCTTTTTGGAGCGGATTTAGCCGCGATTCAAGCTTGCTCAATGCAAGCTTGAACGCGATATATCGTGCGGCAAATCTCGCGATGTCGCGCAATATGCAAATCGCGCGACAAACGCGCGATTTGCATATTGCGCAGTGGGAACGGGGCCTTACTGTAATCCATGGTAGTTTCCCTTCTCTTTGCTGCTCTTCCTTTTAAATCTGTATCTGTTCTCATGCTCTGCAGAACTTTTGTTTTGCAGCAGACTGCCTTGTCTCTGGAATGGCTACATGGTGTCTGTGTGTAGGTTTGCAACCTGAGCCAGCACTACAGGAAGAGGCACTCAGCTGCAAAGGGAAGTTCTCCCCAAGCATGAGAAGACATGAGGATTTAAAAGGAAGAGCAGCAAAGAGAAGGGAAACAACCATGGATTACAGTAAGGCGCACATTACAGTATTCGTTTATGTTAAAAACAATCTGAGGGTATGTCACTTTAAGCTTCCTGTTCAGAATGACTTTGGGTCACACAGGCAGATAATTTCCAGTCATGAAGGGGTTACAATGAAAAGATTGGCACCTTGTATTCGGATCTTATGGCTTTCACAAGCCACTACATCTTAGCAAATGAGTTGATTTCCAGTTTGGATGTGCACGGTCTCTTGTGACCCATATTTGTAGCATCGGGGACCTGTAACCCTGCTGCAGTGTGTGACATATGGATCACTACACATTACTAAGACGTAAGATTCATGGAGCATCACTGCAGAAGTTGCTTACGCAGCTAGCTTGAGAAGTCGCAAGACTTTAAACACAACTTTAGTAAAGTGGGAAAAAAAATCCCTTTGTACGTTGTAGGCAGGTTGTCTGTTTCAGCAGCAAGTCAACCAAATGTGCTCTGATCTCTTGTCTGATTGTAAATGCGGGGCTGACGGTGGCCGAACCCCAGGCCGTATTTTCTGTTTGTGGCAATTGTAACAAGCTTTCTCTTATGAATGGAAGAAGGTAACCTACAGCCAAGAGTACGGATTGTTTCCCGGCTTCAGTAGCTGCTGTTGTCGGGAGGATGTCCTCAACTGTTTGGACCATTTTGTGATTGGAAGATGAAGTTTAACGTTGTGCTCCGATTAGATATAAAAGACACAAATTAATGCTACTGTGTGTTTATTAATCCATCATTAAAGGGACACTAAACTCAGGAGTTACATCTTACAAATACATTTAGGTACTTTCACTATTCACAAAAATGTATCTTTGTGTATCACTCGGCTGTAGATCCTCAGATCATCTCTGAATTGGTGCCGACACTGTCCTTCCTTCTGGAGGGTGACCGATCCAAGCTCACTCCTGGGATGGACTACAATTTCTTTATAAATTAGTAAGCTAAACGTGAGATTGTAGTCCATCACAGGAGCGAGCTTGGAGCGGTGACTACTTTACAACACACACAGTGACCATGGGGAACAGAAGTAGCCCCCCTCCAGAAGGAAGCACAGTGTCGGCACCAATTCAGGGATGATTTGAGGATCTACAGCCGAGTGATACACAAATAAGATACATTAAGCAGTTTAAATACCTGTGCATATACTATGAGGGGAATTTATCAAAACTGGAGCAGCTGTGCATGGCAACCAATCAGCTTCTCTTTTCAGTTTGTTCAGTTAAGATTTGAAAATGAGAGAGCAGCTGATTGGTTGCCATGGGCAACTGCTCCAATTTTGATAAATTTACGTGTGTATGTTTGTGTGTATATATGTGTGTGTGTGTGTATATATATATATATGGGCTGTGCAAATTAACGATTAATTTCTCGATAAATCGTTAATCTTTTTGATCGATTAATTTTTTTTTAAACTCTGCACGAGCGCCAGCCAAGGCATTGGCCTATACACATACAGCACAGCAATGAAGTCATACAATGAACTAGGATCACACTAATCCAGCACGTTATTATTCTGAGTTGCCCCACTCAAGCGGCGGCCATATTGAGTGGGGCACGTGAGATTAATAACGTGCTGGATTAGTGTGATCCTAGTTCATTGTATGACTTCATTGCTGTGCTGTATGTGTATAGGCCAATGCCTTGGCTGGCGCTCGTGCAGAGTTTAAAAAAAAATTAATCGATCAAAAAGATTAACGATTTATCGAGAAATTAATCGTTAATTTGCACAGCCCATATATATATATATATGGGCTGTGCAAATTAACGATTAATTTCTCGATAAATCGTTAATCTTTTTGATCGATTAATTTTTTTTTAAACTCTGCACGAGCGCCAGCCAAGGCATTGGCCTATACACATACAGCACAGCAATGAAGTCATACAATGAACTAGGATCACACTAATCCAGCACGTTATTATTCTGAGTTGCCCCACTCAAGCGGCGGCCATATTGAGTGGGGCACGTGAGATTAATAACGTGCTGGATTAGTGTGATCCTAGTTCATTGTATGACTTCATTGCTGTGCTGTATGTGTATAGGCCAATGCCTTGGCTGGCGCTCGTGCAGAGTTTAAAAAAAAATTAATCGATCAAAAAGATTAACGATTTATCGAGAAATTAATCGTTAATTTGCACAGCCCATATATATATATATATGGGCTGTGCAAATTAACGATTAATTTCTCGATAAATCGTTAATCTTTTTGATCGATTAATTTTTTTTTAAACTCTGCACGAGCGCCAGCCAAGGCATTGGCCTATACACATACAGCACAGCAATGAAGTCATACAATGAACTAGGATCACACTAATCCAGCACGTTATTATTCTGAGTTGCCCCACTCAAGCGGCGGCCATATTGAGTGGGGCACGTGAGATTAATAACGTGCTGGATTAGTGTGATCCTAGTTCATTGTATGACTTCATTGCTGTGCTGTATGTGTATAGGCCAATGCCTTGGCTGGCGCTCGTGCAGAGTTTAAAAAAAAATTAATCGATCAAAAAGATTAACGATTTATCGAGAAATTAATCGTTAATTTGCACAGCCCATATATATATATATATTATACACACGCATACATATACATACACACGGAATGTATAAATAAATATATTTTATCTGTGTGTTTAGCTGTTTGATGTTCATCTTCAAATTGGGCTTAAAAAGGAGTTCAGTTTTGTGTTGGTGCACACTTTCAATGTGTTGACACATTCCTTTTTGCTTTTTATTTTTGCACAGTAGCATTACCTTCTTTGAGCCTGAAAACACAGGGCTGGTATGTGAGAGGAAGAAACAATAAGGGAGCCAGTTAGTTCAGGTGTTTACCAGAAGCATGCTGATAGGAGGAGAGAGCAAAGTGACAGCTGAGTTATCACCGTGCTCCTCCTTTCATTGTCCACTTGCAGGCTGGTGCCGGTCCAGCACCACCTGTGCTCAGCGCAAGTGGGTTGAATAATTCTAGCTATTGGACTGAGGACATCTAGTGAAAGAAAAAAATACTGTGTGGGACATCTTTTAGATTAGAGGTGAATATTGTAAAATTCTTTGTACCTCCACACACACAAAATACCAGTTCACCTGAAAACTATGAAATGTTTAATATGGATACACTGTTAAGTTTGACTTTCCTTTTTGTTTTTTTCTAAACCAGCTAATGAAAGCTCCTCTAAGACTGTGGGACCAGACGCTCCATATGTCATAAAAGTGGTAAGATGTTTGTAAGAACTTTTATGTATATTTAGCAAAAAGAATATTCCTTATCCCGGTGGGGTGAAATCACCAAAATCTATAGTACGTAACTGAACATGTGACCTCAGACTCCATGAAGGGACTGGTAAGCTGCAGCCACTTTGGCATCAGAAGCTGCTTCTGGGTGCTGCCATGACCAAGGAAACGCGGGTATACGTATCTGTCACACCTTTTGGTCTTTGTAGTTGCCATAAGCGAGATGCAGCTTAACCTCCCTGGCGGTCTGATTTTATTTACATTTTTTTTTTTTTCTCGTTATTTTTACTTTTAAAATTCCCCCCGGTACCGCCCCCTTGCGACGCGAAAGCTCGCAGGGGACAGAAGACGGATGCCGGCATCGGCCGGAGGACACAGCGCGGCTCGAGGGACAAGGTAAGTAACGCTACGCTGTAATCCCGAGTGTGGCTCGGGGTTACCGCTTATGGTACTGAAAATTAACCCCGAGCCACACTCGGGAATACCGCCAAGGAGGTTAAAAGAGAACGATGGCCAAACCTTTTTATTTTTTTTGGCTTTAGTCTTCTTTTGGGTCATAGGAGTACGTTTTTAATTTTGTGGTCCAATCTGAGAATACCCCCGTATGTTATGTGCTTTCTACTCGCACGACATACAGAAAATAACTATTTTTTTTTGCAAAATATTTCTTACCTTCTAGATCAGTGGTTCTCAACCTGTGTGACCTCAGGACCCACATTTGTCCTTGGTCATTAAGTAGCGACCCAAGTCACACTGTAATGGAGCCCACTTTCCAGTGCATGTGACCAAACTGTGGGTGGGAGGTGCATTTGGGGTGCCCTTTAAAAGAATGGCATGAATACAACGCACCTCCCACACCAGAACGCACAGTAGGTGCGATTGCATGGTACAGTGCGTTAATCGATCGCATGGGACTGTGTGATTAACACACTGTACTAGTGTGAACGGGCCCCCAAAAACACTGACAGACACACACAATCACAGACATAATTTTTTTTCTTTTTATTAAGGTTCATCCAGTCTCCCTACCTTACGAGAACTGGAGTGGATCCTCAGCCTGCGGTCCAGTGTGAGCTTCTGTGCTGTGATTTAGCTCCATCCATATGTGTATTGCTTGTACAGCTCCCATGCATGCCCGTAGAGGTACCGGGAGCCAGAATGTGATAACTCCAGGATATGTGAGGGAGCTGCAAGCAATGCACGTATGGATGGTGCTCCAACTCAAGTCGACACTCTGCGCCGGGCAGCATATTATGAATGGCTGCTTGGTGTGAGAACTGACAGTGCTGCACTGGGGAGAGCTCTCACCTAGAAAAGTGGAAGGCATGTGGCGACCCACTGGATACAGGGTCGCGACCCACTTTTGGGTCACGACCCACCAGTTGAGAACCAAGTTTCTAGATGTTACTTTTAAGCAAGCCTTTGGACAGCCTGCAAGCTTCTCGCTACAATTTTAAAGAAACTCTGGCTGTTCCCACAGAAAGAGTGGAGACAGACTGAGAGTCCCCTCATTAACCCCTTCGTGACTGACGACGTATTGCACGTCGTCAGCATCGGGTAGGAATATAACATGGGCACAAAAAATGAAAAAAAGGCCTCAGTCATGAAGGGGTTAATATGCACCGCTTCTAGATCTTTAACCCTTTGTTAGGACAGACAGTGTTCAAATCTAGTTTACAACTGATAATGGGATCTGCTGGTTTTCTATCAAAGATTGTAACTGGGTTGGAATGTGTGACCGGTGATGTGGTCACACATTTTAACATAATCACGCCCAGTTTTTCCGCGGTGGAATATGTGACCGGCAAAAGGTGAAGAATTCCATTGACTTCTATGGGACTTGTCTGCCTCTGTCTTCTGTCTCAGAAATGTTTCCCATAGAAGTCAATGGGGATATACTGCACAAGCTCAGCCAGGAAGGGACATCAAACAACTGAAACCGGGTCCGTCAGAACTCGGGAGGTATTCATCTCTGCTCCAGAAGGGAAGAATCAGTAAAGTCACCTTAAAGGGGCCTAGAGAATAAGTGCTCTTATACTTTAGCTATTCCCTACTCTATTCTATCCAAAAATAGTTTTTGCTTTACATATTAATACACTTTAAAGCTACCTAAATTGATTAGGGGGTTATTTGTTTTTTTTTTCTAATGCTTGCTTTCTTGGGTATTGTGTGACTTCCTGCTCAGCTGTAATATGAAATGGCTGAAAAAATCTGGACCTTAGTTTTGGATGTAAATTGAAATACATTTTTGAATTGTAGGAACCAAGCGATAACGGTCCCCTCTTCTCAGAGTTGAAGTTCTACATGCGTGCTGCTAAGCCAGAAATGAGTAAGTCTTGCCCATTTGTTACATAAACCAGATGACCGATAGTTGGTATGTTTTTGGCATAGCTATAGAAGGGTTTGTTGCAAGATTGAGATGTGCAATGATCTGCCCTGAACTAAGGCCTTGTTCACACCAAATGCAGAGCAGATCTGCATGGGTTTCTGCACATGCAGTGCAGTGGGTTTTGCCGCGTTTTTGATGCGTTCCGGGCCGTTTTTAGTTTAAAATGTGCTTTCAATGCGTTCCAGGGTATTTGCGTGGGTTTTTGAATCATTTGCATGCGTTCCAAAGCAGGTAAAATAGGGCCTGCTGCAGTTTTTTTACCTGCTCTGGAACGGAACGCTGCAATGTTAACTGGAGCTAAAAATACCATTGGAATACATTGGATGCAGTTTTGCTCCGGTCTGTAACTGCTCTGCTCATGGAACGCGCTGTGTGTGAACAAGGCCTAAAAGTCCTTCCTTTGACATGCCTTTGAACCTGCATGTACACCTAATCTGCAGTTTCTTTCACCTAACGCAAAACCATCTTTTTAAAATGCTATCTTGTCAGTTGTGTCTATGGTACTATAGAATGTTGTTTTACAGAATGAACTCTCGGGAGCTTATTGTATAAGACTGTAAACTGTTAGAGAGCTGCATGTGATAAGTGACCCGTACTTACTAGAGAATTTCATGTTACAATGATGCCCATGGTACAAGAGACTGCTGTGTTGCATTTGCAATGGAAGAGACTATCAGTCTTTTGTGAGAGACTTTTTTCATGTTATAAGGTACTCATTATTAATTGCAAAGTTCATAGGGTGTCCACTGTAGAGCAGAAAATGACAGTACTGGTCACATGACAGCCATAGGCAGTGACTAATTTATTCCAGATTGACAAACGGGCCCAGTTTCCCTGTATGATCTGTGGAATCCAAAGCTCCCAACAGGACAACCGTAACCTGATTCACTTATCTGTTCTCTTTCATGCCCACTCTGTGTGTCTGGTAATCTGTGAGTGTATAGTCCTGCGTTGTGAGGGTAGTAACTAATACATCCGGTATATCTTATTAGTAAGAGCACTGCCACTGATATAACTATAACACTGTTGATGTATTTTCTTTGAAGTTCAGCAATGGACCAGGTCTCATAAACTGGACTATCTTGGTGTGCCCAGATACTGGGGCTCTGGACTGCATGAGAAAAATGGCAACAGGTAATAAGGATTTCATAACAAGTTTTTTGTTAATATTATTATTATTAGGGATGCACCGATACTGAGCATTTGGGCTCGTACTCGCCCAAATGCTCAGATACTTACTCTAATACCAGAGCTGCCGGTCAGAGGGAGATTTCCTCTGACCGGCAGTGCCAGGACAGAGCATGGAGCCAGCTTTGCGGCCAATCAGGAATTTGAGCGCTAGGTCTTGACCCGCCTCCCGGCTTCCTGATTGGCTAGGAAGCCGGATTCACGCTGCCTAGCGACACTGCAAGGCAGTCAAATGTCAGTCAAGGGGTATTTACTGTGCAGGCTCGGCCTGGAAGAGAGGCCCGCTGCAGGATGGCAACATTTCAACAGAAGAGGTGACGTCAGCTTAAAGAGACCTTAAGGATAAGTGCACTTACACTTTAAAACCATTGCCAGTTATTTTGCCATCTGTGTACCATTCCACTTCCTGTCCTGTAGACAACAGGACAGGAAGTGATTGATTGATTAGGAAAGGATGCCAATATCAGTACTCTGTATCGGTGAGTACTGATAAAAACAAAAATACGTACTCGATACTGAAAAACCCCTATCGGTGCATCCCTAAATATTATTATTATTTTTATTATTATTATATAATTAAAAGCAAACTGAAGAATACTTGAAGTCCTGTTTTGACTTCTTTCTTGGTTGAAATAATGTGTTTGTATTTTATTTTATAAAAGGCTTACAGATGTTATGTCTACTTCTTGCTTTCAGCTACAGATTCATGGTGATGGATCGATTTGGGAAAGATTTACAGAAGATTTTTGAGGATGGTGGGAAAACGTTCCCTCACAAGACTGTATTGCAGCTGGGGTTGAGACTGGTAGTTAGTTATTTAATTGCTTCATAATTACTGCAACTGTTCTTTAATGTAAACATTTGATGAGCCATTTTTACAGACGCACAAACCGCCTTCACCTTTTTATTAGCTGTCTCTATTCCTTTGTTTCCCCATAAACATAGGTTTTAAAATAACTTTCTGACTCCTCTGTCATTATTGCCAATGGTATCCTTTCAGTGGTGTTCAGTCCTGCCAACACTTAAAAGGGTACCTGGATAGAGCAGTATCCACTCGGTTTCAAATTGGCGCCATAGTCTCAAGATTACCAGATGACCCTTAATTTGCTGGATTCTGCTGAAATCATGCTTTGGCTTACAAAGTTGGAATTCTTTTGGGACCCCAACTGACTGTAATTTTTGGGAAATGAAATAAAAATTGATGCACACCAAAGGAATTAATTTATTGGTTTGTGCATTTGTGCATGAATATTGTGCCTGTGTTTATTTGGATGTTTCATGTGCACTTACAGCTGCCTGGTTTCATTTTCTTATATCTTAGATTGATATTCTGGAGTATATACACGAACATGAATATGTTCACGGAGATATCAAAGCTTCCAATCTTCTCCTTCATCACAAAAATCCGGATCAGGTATGTTGAGACAGCTGTCATCACAAGTGCTATTTTTGAGTAGGAACATGGCGTCTCACTTTAACTTCTAATATTTTGTGAATTCAAATAATTTGTTGCCTTTTGCATGAAATTGGAAGGCCATATTCATCCCTTATCCAGAGTGCTTTATACTTTTTATGTTCTTTCTCTGCATCCAGCATTCTTTATCTAGCAAGGAAGTATGTCTCAGTCCTGGCTGTGTAATTGTTCCTACATTAGTGACACCACAATAAAAGGGCAGTGGTTCTGCAGCATGATAGTGTCACCATGGCTCAGATTGAGCACTGGAAAAGGAACCCTTCACTGACAATGGTGCCTCCCTATCTCTTCCAACCCCTGACCAAAAAAACAGTGTTAACAGCTTGAATTTCTTGAGCCTTCTCTCCTCATATGTTGCATCTTTTAAAAAAACTCGTTGACAATTTTATTTGTATATTTTTAATCAATGAACTGAGGATTTTTCTAATGAACTGGTGCCTTGACCTCTACTTCCAGCTACAGTAATACATAAAACATTGTTAAAAAACCCCAACTATTTCTAAAATGAATATCACGTGTATGACACTGCTTGAAAGAAGAGTTTGAGGCATTAATGGCAGAGTTTATACCCTTGTTACATCTTGTTGACAAAGCTTTTTCACTGAGGGCAAAATACATACATCACTTGAGATTGTCACTTGCTACCAGGAAGTAGAAATACAGTATCACCCAGGATCGGCACTGCATCTGTCATGTTTAAGGATTGCTGGGTTGACTTAATTGTGTAAAAAAAAAAAAAAAAAAAAAAAGGCTTTTAATTCAAAGCATAGGTCCCTGATGGTAAAGGGCATGAGGCCAGGTATCAGCACAGCAGGCAGCTACATGCTAATGGCGCTCCAGCTATAGGGAGAACAACCTTTTACGTCTGGTGTGTTGGGCTGCTAGAAATCCGGATCAGCATTGTAGAAAGTTCCCAGTTCTCCCATAAAATGAAAAACGTGCATGCACTGTTGGCAAGTGCAACTTCTGTTTTTTGTTGAGGGACAAAATAAGATCCCCCTCCAGTTGTGATATACATTGTAAGGATATAATCAGGTTGTATTGCAGTCATAATTTAATTGTTTGCATTACCATGTTCAGTGGCTGCCATATCGCAAGGAACCTGGGGTTTACTATTGCTTCTGTCGTCCATGTAAAACTGTGGAGCTAAAAAAAAGGCAATAAATGGAAGCATCAGATAAAAATCATGCTTATTGAATTACTAATTTACTGTAATGCTTACAATTGTTTGTTCAGTTTTTATCATGCCAAATGTCATGTAATGAAAGCACAATGTCTGCTCTTTGTAGGTGTTCCTGGTGGATTATGGCCTTGCCTATAGATACTGTCCAGATGGGGTTCACAAAGAGTATAAAGAGGATCCTAGGAAGTGTCACAATGGCACAATAGAATTTACAAGTGTTGATGCTCACAAAGGAGTCAGTAAGTATGTTTTATGTATCCTCATTCTCTGGTGTAATTGTGTAAAGTAAAACTGTTATGAAAGAAATGCTTGCACAGGTTTTGCTGACCTCATCCTGAACATGAATGGAACAGGAGAATGCAAAACTGTTCATCTGCATTTATTTTAAAGTGGATTTAAACCATATGGAAAAGGAGACCATTGGAAACACTATGCTATTAACCCCGGTCACTTTTGCTGGACAGCCTTCTAAACATGTGAATGCAGAGAAAAACATAAAGGCCCAAAGAATTATGTCTGAAACCTGTTCCCCCTGCTGTGTGCTGCCACCCTCTGGAAAAGATAGTGAAGATGGAGTCACGGCTCCCTAGGCTAGTAAACTTCTTTTTTTTTTCTGGCGGAAGGGTCTCTATAGATACACTGTCATTGCATCTGCTGAAGCCCCCATTGCTGTGTTCATTTGTCCCAACTCTTGTCACTTACTGGATAGCTTGGTCGGCATGTAGAGAAAAATATACAGTGCATAAAATAAGGGTATTCCAATACTCAAAACTGATTCTATGTAAAAAACCAACACAGTTATCATAATGCAATGTTTTTGTCGGTAGTGGTCCTTTGTGCATATATTTTTGGGCTGATATCTTTCTAGCTAGCCAGACCTATGCATTCATCTGTGCCAAACTATGGCTTGTTTCCCCTTTGATTGTATAAGTAGATGCGCATATATTTTTGTTTGCGTGTAACGCATAAGTGTATATCCATGTGCTCTTATAAATATGTGATGTACAGATAAATACAGCCTCAGCTAAACTCTCACAGCTCCCACCTAGAACAAGTCAGTACCCACGGCTTTTTTTTATTTTTTTATTAGCATAGAATGGTACATATTAAAAAAATGTAAAGGAGACTACAAATATTGAGCAAGTGTGACTCTTTCCCTTTATAACTTCAGAAGCTTGGATAAGAAGTTCTTCACAAACATCGCATTGAAGTGTTTGGCTCAGCTGTTCATTTACTGTACTAAGGGGGTGCTGTTATTGCCGAAGTAATTTGTATTTCTGTCCAAACAACTTGCTAGGCCTCCTACATACAGTATGCAAATTTCCCTGGCACCGTTCATGAATGTGACATCCCTAAAATTCTTAGAAATGAGTCTCCAGACAGATGAAGAAAATAGTTTTATTTTTCACGGCATTAACTGGCTGAAGAAAAACAAAGCCCAACCGGTTCACGTGATTAGCGGTTTTCTGTAAATGTAGTTTTATCTTTTAGTTAATGCTGGAATGGCTTTTGTTGGAAAATAGCTTAATGGTACAGCAATGCCTGTAACATGTATGTGTGTGTGTTGGATCCTTTGTGTGTCTGCTCCATATTTTAGCTGCATAGGTCAAAACCAGCAGAAAGAAGCTTGGTGGGACCTTAAGGCTGGGTTCACACCTAGGCGTATCGAATATGCGCGTTTGTCGCGCGTTTTTTACCACGATTCGCGGTAAACTCGCAACAAACGCGCGTTTCCGAGGGCTTCCTGGCTGTATCCCAATGGATACGCACGGCAAATACGCCCCAAAGAAGCTCCTGTACTTCTTTGGGCGTAGGGCGTTTTGCAGCGCGTTCCTACGCGCTGTAAAACGCCCAGGTGGGAACCATGCCCATAGGCAATCATTGGTTTTCACATGTTGAGCGTTTTACAGAGCGTAGGAACGTGCTGTAAAACGCCCAGGTGGGAACCAGGCCTTAGGCATATATATGTATGTATGTATATATATATATGTATGTATATATTTTTTTTTTGTTTAACATGGGCTTTCAGTGCGTTCCAGATATTTGCATGCATTTTTGATGTGTTTGCATGCGTTCCACCTGCTCTGGAACTGAATGCTGCGATGTGAACTGGAGCAAAAAATACGATTGGAATACATTGGACGCAGTTTTGATCTGGTCTGCAACTGCTCTGCTCTGCACCTGTTCCGTGCTTGGTGTAAACAAGGCCTTATTATTGCATGAGCCAGCCTCTCAGTCAGTGTGTTAAAGACTTAGTAAGTGGAAGGAAGGGTTACCTTCGTAATCATGTGGCTGGCTTAAACCTAGGCAGCCATAGATGACCTGGTTCGTGACATTCAGCAGCATTGTGAATGCTTCTGGTCATTGGAGACTGAGAATTGGCACGATGCAACCATTATGCAGCACTAATATGCGGGGCCTGTATATGTAATGAGCAAATGTGACTTTCATGCTGCCCATATAATTACAAACATGACATAGATGGTTTTGTAAACCTTAGGGGCCCTTTCGCATAATCTTGTTGCAGTAATCTGCATTGAAAAATGCATTTTAAAATAGACAATTGTGTGTTGAAATGGCTGCACACTGCACTTTTATAGTAGCAGGAAATACACTTGCAGTGAAGCTGGTATGCTGTGTTGTGGTGCGGTGCATTGAAAATAAAAGGATACATCTCTTGTGCGTTAAAGATGAGCTACTTGCCAATTCAAAAATGAATGTGCTGCTTTAGCGTATGATGATGCACTGCTTTTCCTTGAGTATAATAATGCAAAGCACACTGTAATCAAATCTATATTACTATACACTGATAACAAATCATATCTTGTTAAAGACTATAGTTCCCCTTTGATAACTGTTATTTTTTGTTAACAGGTCCTTCAAGAAGAGGAGACTTAGAAATTTTGGGTTTTTGCATGATTCAGTGGATCTGTGGCAAGCTGCCTTGGGAAGACAACTTAATCGACCCAAATTATGTTACCAACTCAAAAATAAGGTATGTCTGTCTATAATGTTTATTGCATGTATAACATCGGCTGAACCCTAGGTAAGATCTAAAGTTACCCTTGTAGTGGAGCTTCCCCTGGACAGCAAAGGTTTCATTGCTCATTCTGGTTAGGGTAACATTAAAAGGCAGTTTTACGTACCTTTATGCCTCGGTCCTGTGGCAACCAGCATTCTTCTGTTCTCCCCAATGCTTTGGGTTGTGAGCAGGGTCTCAACTTCCTCACTTTTAATTAGAGGTGCACCAAAATGGAAATTTTAAAACCCAACCGAAAAAAAAAAATTGTTATTTTTTATAAATTTGTTTTATATTTTATTCATTTTGTATTAAGTATTTTTAACATTACTTTTAGGGGCTTCAGGGAAATATTAAGGGTCTAAACAGACCCCTGATATTTCCCTTTTTTAAAATAGAAAAACAGATTGAGAACACAAAGTCCTCTATCTTTTTCTGTGTCCCCTGTTATCAATGAACAGGAATCCTCTGAGTGTTCCTGTTCATTGATAACATACATTGTACATTGTTTACTATAACCACAATCATGAATGAACAGGAGGAGATGTAGATCACTCCCATTCATTCATAATTGAGGATATAGTTAACATGCCATGTCCTTAATTATGTACAAACACTCAGCGATCACTGAGTGTGTGTACCTTGCTCTTCTCTCTGACACGATGTCACAGGAGGCTGATTGAGCGGTGTAGGGAGGAAAGCCCAGCCCCCTGTAACAGCGCTGTCTCCGCCCCCACAGCGCTCTGCCGGACTGTGATAGGCGGCTGAGCGGTGTTTGAAGACACGCTGGCCGCTCACTGCGCTTTCCTCTCGCAGCACTCGGCCGGCTATCACAGTTTCTCTCCTCCCGGCTGGGACAAAGAGCAGCGCCCAGCAGGGAGGAAATAAATCACGGATGCGCCGGTGTATCGGCAGGAAAATGGCACTTTCGGCATTATGCCAAAAGTGCCATTTTCGGCCGATATGTTTCGGCGGCCGAGATATATCGGTGCATCCCTACTTTTAATTTTGAATTGCTGGTACTGGACTGTATGTGAAGGCTTTAGAGTGCCTAAGTGATGGAGCCGCAAAGAGAAGAGTCTTACAAGGGGACTGGTCGCATAGAAAGGAGGAAGCCTGCAGGAGCGAGGGATAAGGTAAGTAAAAGTGCCTTTTAATGGTATGCTAGACAAAACAAACATCAAACTTTAGATTTTCCCCGTCGCACAGCTCTAATGGAAGGAAAAAACTCTGAACAGCTATTACTGAAAGCTGCATTTCTCTGACTTCTGGGCTGTTATTATGAAGAGAAACAGTTCTGCTGTAAGTGATGTGAATGTTCTGGCGCTAGTATGCATCTTGGGGATCAGAAGGTGACCTCATCAGAGATCACACTGAGGTTTTCTTCTTGTGACCAATACATTTTCCTGCAAGTAAGCTTTAATAAGAAAGTTTGCAAAGATTGTCAATGTTCACTGAATAGTCTTAGGTGAACCATCCCTTTTAAAGAAGAACTATGAGTTCAGTCATTTCCACTCATCCTCCTAGTTAGAGCCGACTTGTGACAAAGAAACTGTCACAGGTCGGCTCTATCGATCGAGAAGTGAGCAGAAACATGCAGCCGTTTCGCTCACTTCCCGATCGTCTCCCTGCAGTGAGCGGAGACGGTAAGTCGCCGCAGGGATTGCTCTCTCCGATCCTCCAGCACTGAGTGGAAGAACGAACGGAGGAGGGGGCAGGCACAGCTGGCTCTACCTCTAGATAGGCAGAGCCAGCTGTCACTCTCGCAACTGGGTGGATCTCAACAGTATTGTCGGAATCCATCCTGGCTGGGGCGCTCTCAGTACATCGCGGGCAAGAGCTTTGGTACAGCCAACGAGAAAGCCACTCGCACTCAATTTCGATGTCCGGTCAACTCATTTATTGGCTGAAGTGGTATGACATCTTCATGCAACGTTTCGGAACCCAGCGGTTCCTTCATCAGGCAAACAGAACAGGTGGCGAGTGGCTTTCTCGTTGGCTGTACTTTGTCTGCAGAGGTATCTGCTGCTACTCTGGCCCCCGCCCTGTACGTTGGGCTTTTCTCTGGTTAGGAGTGCGATGGGATTAATTGGATTTTGAATTGTGCTGAGCTTTGGGTCACGGGAGGAGGTTACTATGTCGTCCCCGTGACCCTAAAGAGAACAAGCAGTAGAAAGGATGCCTGCATCTCTGGTCTTCTGTTTCTGCATAGTCACCTTGGCAGACAGTCACAGGGCATGGCTCAATAATGCAAACCAGTGGGTGAGTTCAAAGAAGGAAACGGCTGATAAAACGTGGCTTCGAATTTCTTTCTCAGCTCCCTGGGATCCTAGAAATCCCTGGGGTGGGCCAATTGTTATAGTACCGACCAGAGCTTTTAAAGTTGGGTCATAGGTTCAGTTAAAGAGGAATATCTATTCAGTTGTTTAAAAATGCAAAATTAAATCTCCAGTTTTTTATTTTTTTTAATTTCAGGTATTGTGATGAAGTCCCAACTCTTATAGACACCTGCTTCCCTGGGAAAAAGAAGCCAGGTAGGACCATAGTGAAACCTCAATGTAAAATAACTTATGTTAAATGGGAAGAGTTCCAGAAAAGGACTGATCTGATCGAGGGCCTAGCATAGTACTTGCTGTACAGGTCTTACTGGTGTGCAGTGGAGGTGATCAGCAGGAGTAGCTGGGTGCATCTGTTTGCACCCAGACACTTGGTCTCTAGGAATAAAAACTAAAATGCTGCTGTTATAAAAGGTACCTGGAGGTGTCTGCGCCTACCTACAGCAGCTTCAAGAAGCCCGCAGATATGGATAAATCCCAGGTTGTTCAGTCAGGAAAAGTGTTAACACTTTCGTAGTGCCACAGCTTGCCTGCCTCTTCTAGCCTCCTGTACTCATATTGATTAGTGGGGCAGCACATCATAGTGATTGACCAGTAGAAAGGTGGCAAGTTTTTTTTAACTATGTATCTGTTAAGAAAACTGAATTCAGGGCACAAAAACTCTGATTTGATATATATTCCTCAACAATAGCAAAATATATAAGTCCACTTTGTGTGCACTACACAAATATTGCCTTGTAATAGTAGCAGTGGCATAATCGGTGTGCTGCCCACAGCCTGTTCAGTAAGCAGAGCAGTGGGAGGGGGCCAGCAGATTGACCCACTACAGACTGCCTGCAGAAACCTACAGGGGTGTGGTGGCGATTTCAAAATACACATGCCTCCATTATTCAGGCAATATTTACTTAGCAACTTGGATTTAGTCAGCTGATTACTGTGATTCGATAGTATTAATCATCTTGAAGTCCGTGTTGAGTTCCCAGTTGTTTAGCTGTTGTAGACACGGCAAGAATGAAGTGCACTTTAGTATACAGATTGCCTGCACTTTAACGTCTGCCTCAGAAGGGCTGACACTAAATGCATGGACAGGAAGAGCACAAAAGCCACAAATCAACGTTTATCCGGAATATTTACTGTTCTCTTCTTGCTTTCAATAGGTGAAATGACAAAGTACATGGCTGAAATTACGCAGTTGGGCTATGATGCTAAACCTCCGTATCAGAAATTAAGAGACATTCTTTTACAAGGCTTAAAGGCATTGGGTAGCAAGGACAACGGGAAGCTGGACTTCCCTAGCAGCCAGAATGGACATGTCCCTACAAGGGATCGGAAGGTATGTCTATAAAATCTGTGCGGTTTGTATATAAAAAGTCATAACTGGCATAAATCTATATATGACACTAGTATTGCTTTATAGTCCATTAAAGGACACGGGGTCTTTAACCTTCCTGTTATACTGCTGCCTACAGGAGGATTTGACACTGACAAACAACAAAAACTGTAGGACAGCCAAAGATGACCCTTCCTACTAGCATGTCTCAGTTTTTCTATTGTCCTAGAAGGATAGATGTCTTTTCTGCAGTTTGTTTTTTAAACTTTTTTGTGTTTGTTCTTTTTCTTCCTTCGTCTTTTTTTCCCTCTTCAATAAAGATTCTTCTCTACGTTGCTGCTTTAGCTTTGTCTCTTCACAAGCAGCTTTCCAGCTAGGTCAATATCGGTCTGGCTTTTGGAGTACTGCATTTGGATCCTGTTGGATTGGACGTAGAAAGGATTGCCTGGAAGTGACCTTTGGGAGCTTTCCTTGCCTCACCGCTTCCCTGTCTCTAAAGAGTCAGTGAGTAGGGCCGAGCTGCAGATGCTCCCTAATTTCCTTGGGCAATGGGTACCATTATTCTGTTCCCAACGGTTTTGCCATTGAATGGGTTAATGCTGTGTGATTAACGCTGACGTCATCTGTTGGGTTGGAGTGTTGTATGCACTTTCTTTCCAGTCATAAAGCATCTCCCCGCTTCTGCTTGCAAAGAGCCACATGGAACTTCTCCTCTTTGATCTGTTTCTGCTGCATACATCTGCACCCTGGAACCGTGCTATTGTCTCCCCTTAGTCTGTTCCACCATCTGAGTTCTCTTTGGCTGCATCAGGTGTGTTTGGACCCTCTCCCCTTATGCCTTAGGTTTTTAGCACTGCCATGAAAGACCCAGATCACTCATTTATTTGCTGAATCTGACTGCAGGGGCCATACATTTGCTCCAACCCCACTGCAAGAACTGTTTTGCCTGTTCTGCTTTAAGAGTTAATTTTACTGTGTGTTTTGGCTTTCTTTGACAACAAACTACAATTGACTGAGGTCATGCAGACCTATTTATTTTTTTCAAATGCGTAAAAAAAAAACCCCCTGAAATGTTGCCAACTGACGTCGCTATTAACAAGACTTCAGTGTTCGATATTAGTAATTGTTTTTCTTCCTAGAACATTGGCAAGGCCATGTTATGATTTCCATTTAAGTTGTAGGTTGTGCAATATATTGTGTAGGGAGGGTCAAACATGAAAACCCGCTTCTGTAATTTACAACGTACAGCGTGTAGGTTCTTGAAACAATGCAGACATTCCCATCTCTGTGTGCCACATGATTGGATGTGTGCCAGTAACAGCAGCATGCGATTGTTTTCGTTGCGACTGAGGTTCCTCATGTGTTGCCGTCTCATGCCTCTCAGAATTCTTTACGCCTTTTAAGTGTGCTCAGCTGATCATTAATCGAATAGAGATCTTGTGTTACTGTGGGTGGCGGCTTTGAAGATCTCTGCAATTCACTGCTTGCATCTAAACTAATCACATACCCATATAAAACATCGGAAGGAAGAAACACAAAAGGTAGAAACATTAATTTAAGGTCAGAACTTGTATTATGACTTTTTTCTTTTTTGTTTAAAAATGTATGTTCTGATGCTGCTCTGTTTATCTGATCATCTACCAATGTATTTTTAGCAAGGTATAATATAGTGATATTTATCTTGCTGATTGATAACTTAACAATCTAGATCAGTTGTACACCAGTTTATAAAGTACTTGACATAAAGTATAAAATGTTTTAGTAGATGGTAGCTGGAGAAGCTTTCCTCAGTTCCCATTTTATAAAAAAAAAAGGTATGGTTTGAAAAAAAGGCTGCCATGATGTACTATGGATTTCCCCAGTTCAGTGATGTAAGGTGTATTTGGACACCCAACACAAGATTAGCAATAGCATGGGTCCCTGTCCTTTATCTTTCATTGAGGAACAAAGGAAGTCGTGGGGTCCATTGAGATTGCTACATTGCTACTAAAGGCAAAGCAGGGAATTTATCATAACTGGAGCAGACAAAAACTGGAGCAGCTGTGCATGGCAACCAATCAGCTTTTCGCTTCAGTTTGTTCTGTTAAGATTTAAAAAATGAAAGAGAAGCTGATTGGTTGTCACGCACAGCTGCTCCAGTTTTTGTCTGTTCCAGTTTTGATAAATTCCCCTCATAGTATCTTTTGTGTACAGTGCATACTATCACACAATGCAATGCACCCCATGCTAGGTGTGCTGCGTTGCCATTCATGCTGAATGACACCCCAAATGTGTGGTACTTTAATGTCGTTTTGCCATGCAGCAGCATAAAGAAATGCATGCATTACTTTTTCCTTCCACATGGTATTGAGGTACCAGCCGCCCACAGGTGGTGCGTTGGTGTACCATTCAGAATAAATGGCAACACAGGGTACCTAACATGCAATGTAGCACAACACATCAGTGTGAATAGACCCGGAAGCCTTTAGGAGGATTGGACCATGGCAAACAAACTTTAGGCCAGTCAAGGGTATAACCTCTCCTACTACCGGCATGGTTTGTTTTTTTTTGCTAGTGTCCTAGGAGACTGAACGTTTTTTTTTTTTTTTTTCCCTCCAGTTCTGCTACGGATCCACTGGCTTCTCATTCAACCATCTCTAGGTGGCTCAGATAGACAATCGTTCAAGCTTATGGTCTGAAGGATGCATACAAAACTGAGGCTTAGTAATAGTAGAGGTAATCCTCGACTAGCCTACTTTTTTTTTTGCTAGTGTCCAGTCTTCCTGTAGGCAGTGTATAACATGAAGGTGAAAAGGCTACCTGCGTCCCTCAGCGGACGACAACATAGGGATTTTATGGCGAGTACAAAAAATACTATTTTAATACTCCTCACTCCTGTATTTTGGAGAAGTGATCCCTTGAAATGTTTTCTGAATCTGATACTCCCAGAAGATTCTTTTTTGTGGTCTGTGCCACACACTGATTTCTCAGTATGACAGTAGTGACATAGGGGCTGCCAGGGGAAACCGCAGCTGAGGACAAGGAATTTGTCACTCCAGGAAGTGTCTGATTCAGAAGATTCTTCTTTTGGCGTCACTTTCGCAATACAGAAGCAGTCGATGCCATGAGCAGCGGGAGAGGTGAGTATTAAACACCTTTGCAGGTGCCGTGTGTTTTAAATGTTTAACATTCGACCCTTTAATGCCATGTTGGAATTAAGGCACCACATCAAGTAAAATAGTCCAGATAAAACTTTATTCAGTTAGGGTCGGGGGACAATTAAGCAGAGTAACCAAACCATCTGCTGACGGGCCTAAAGTACTACATCACAACTCGATACAACTTTCACGCTGCAGGGATTGTAGTCCATGTACATGATTTCTCTCATTGGGCCCTGATTAAGCTGTAGTGTTTTGGAGAATACTTAAATGTCTCCTTGCCTTAATGGAATAAAGTTGTATCGGACCTATTTTAATTGCTGTGACTCTTTAATTCTTACATCTACAGTGTTCACTGTCAAGCCAAGGATACTGTGGAGATTGCAGAAATGCCTACCCATCAGCCAGATCACACAGATATATACATAAGATCTGCATGAGTTTCTGCACACGCAGTGCAGTGGGTTGTGCTGTGTTTTGATGCGTTCCGGTCAGTTTTTGGTAAAAAAATAAATATATAAGTTTGGATTGGGTTTCTAGTGTTTTCATGCGTTTTTTATGCGTTTGCATACATTCCAGAGCAGGTAAAATAGGGCTTGCTGCATTATTTTTACATGCTCTGGAACTGAACTCTGCGGTGTGAACTAGAGCCCAAAATACCATTGGAATACATTGGACGCAGTTTTGATCCGGTCTGTAACTGCTCTGCTCCTGGAACGCGCTTGGTGTGAACAAGACCTAACACTTCCAGAAAGCCGTACGTACCTGACCTGGTAGGTCAGTTATGGTCTGGTACGGACCATGCTTTGTCCGGAGCGTGCATGGACACACTAGACAGTGAAGGTGGCATCATGACAACAGCTCTGAAGCCTGCAATGTCAATGGGAGTAGTGCCATCTCACATCATATTGCAGTCTCCATGGGTTTCTATTAAATTGTACACATTTGAAAGGTGAGAAGAAACAAATCACGTGAGGTTACCAATAACTTATCGGTTCTTACGTCACTATCGAGAACATTTCTTGTCTATTGCCTGAATTAGAAGCCCTCATTTTTGCTTTTTTAGCGCTGATGCTTGTGATATATTTTGCAAAGTGTGTGTGTGTGTGTATGTGTGTGTGTATGTATATGTATGTATATGTGTATGTATATATATATATATATATATTTTACATTACACACATATACCCTGTTTATCTATAGCTTTTATCACGTAGCTAAGACTTTTGTTGAAAGTGGACATTGCCTTTTGAGTGGATTTTTTTTAGCTTTTAGAATTTCTCAGTTTTACTGCATCAGTCCTCCTTTGATTGTCTTGAAAATGTCATGCATAACGCAGAAATGAACCTTTTCATTTTAAGCATTCTATAAAATCTTGTCGAAAAAGCCTAAAAATATTATAATTTCCAGCTTTCCATTCCGTCTGTGCATAACGGCAGCATAAGCAGTCCGGTAATGAGATCTGCTGTGTGTATTTCTGGTCCGAATGAAAAGTGTCTGTGTGTATTCCTGCCTAATGCATCACAAATCTGCTGACATGCTAACCTTGAAGTCCTAGCTGGCGATAATCAGGCCCGTGCAGCGGCAGAGATGTACCTAATGCACTCCATCAATGCAGTTTGCATATGGGAGTTCCCACGGGGGAGCTGTTCTGTGCCAGCTGAGGGTTACCTGCCCATTGCCGTTATTGTATGTAATTATCAAACCAATCTGTTCAGCCCAGCAGGGTTTAGATGGTAATCTGAAAGCGGTGCTCCTTCAATGAGAAATGGATTGCACTATCCACCCCCTCACCTTTTATCCCCATCAGCATTGTAGCCATACAGCTGCATTCTTAGCATCAAAGCTTGAGACCGTAGGGAAGTGCAATTGTAATTTCATATAATTGTCCGACGAGCATTGTCAAAGTT